CCTCTGAGTCAGCTCTGAGGGTCTCGTCTGAAACCTGCCATGGGTGAGCCTCCCAGCGCCTGTGACGGCCACGGCATCCGCGGCCAGGCGGGACAGTAAGTCACATCAGGGCAGAGGGCGACGTGGCGCAACGGCCCACGCGGACCTGCCCTCCCCGACCTGCCCTCCCCTCCCCCACGCGGCACAGGGAGCTCCCCGTGGTCAGGGCCACAGAGGAGCACGGGAGAGGAGAGTCAGTCATCTATGTGATCTGAGCTAAGCAAAAATATTATGAAGAAATACTAGTGAAACCAACAGTCAGTGGAATTAACACCACAGTGAGAGGAACTGATTGGCACCTGGGTGCGATTTCAAGGACACACGGTGGTGACCACGGACACGTCGGGCACCGTAACTCACCACCCCATCAGGGAAAGGCAAAGTTCATGGGAGACTAACATCTGAGAGGAGGCGACTGCCCAGGGACACGTCCACTCATGGTAAAGTCCCACAGGGTCAGGGCTGAGCCCTCAGCTTCCCCCACACCCCAAACATGCCTGGTTCTCTGGGGACTGGGCCTGATGGGAATGACCAGCGCCCTTCCGCTGAGGACACAGGCCAGGGGCCACCACCTGGGAGCAGGTGGACGTCCTGAGGGAGGACAGCAGTTGGCGACTGTGAGGGCTGAGGTGAGCCCAGCACAGGCCAGGGGCCTGGGGGTCAGGGGGTTCTTCCCTGAGCAGAGGAGTGAGACCCTGGGGCACCTGAACACTTACCCCATCAGCTCTGGGCTGAGCCTGGGCTGTTGTGCTCTGGGCGCCCCCTGGTGGTGGAGTGTCTGGGTGCTGCCCCTGTGTCCTGTCTGGGCTCACACCTGCTCCCCTCACTGTGTCTCCCACAGTAATACATGGCCGTGTCCTTGGCCTCAGGCTGTTCATCTGCAGATACAGCGAGTTCTTGCCGTCGCCTCTGGAGATGGTGAATTGGCCCTTCATGGAGTCCACACAGCCTGTGCTACCACCATTAGCATTAATTCCCAGAACTCACTGAAGACCCTTCCCTAGGCCTTGAGGACCCAGCTCCTGTTGTAGTTGCTGTAGGTGAACCCCGAGGCTGCACAAGATTGTCTGAGAGTCCACCCAGGCTGCACCAAGTCTCCCCCAGACTCCACCATCTGCTCCTCACACTGGACACCTGCAAACACTGACACAGCAGTCAGGACACTGGCTCTCTGCCACTGCTTCCTTCCTCCTGCTCCCTCCCTGTCCAGGGTCTCCCCAGGACTCTCCCCCTCGAAGAGCCAGGAGGAGCAGCCAGACAATCTCATCCTCCATGGTGAGTATCCACGTGTGTCCTGACCCGAGTGGTCCCTGGGTCCTGGCTGGGCTCCTGTGCAGAGCTGGGCTGGGCTGTTTTCAGCATCAGGGTTCGGCCCTATTCCCATGTGTCCTGCCAGATACAGGTCTGGCTGGAGTCGGGGACTGAAGATCTGGGAGGGTCCT